GAAAGAGATGGTAACCTCTTCAGAGGGCAGGATCCTACTCCTCTGCTCCGCAGGGAGGCAGCTGTCCTAACCTTAGCATGCCAAAGGTGAAAGAGTAAATACGCCTTAAGGGAGACCAAAGCAGAAAGGGAAGAGGCGTGACTGATCAGGTACATGTTCTATCAGATTTTGGTATGGAAGCAAGAAAAATGCTTGTTGACATTTGTGTTCGTGTGGTGAAAGCAAGCCTTGGCTCCACCAGCATGGCTGTCCTGGGAAGCATGAAGTTCTTGTCTGTGAAAGGAGCCTTACTTTATTTTGCAACATTCCTGCACGCACGCTAGTACGTAAGACAAAAGTATTTTAAGCTGTTGAATGCATAGGTAAACCCCCAGTCTCTTTGGAAACTCAAGATGCTGTGTCCAGTCAGGTTGAACCATAATATTTTTTAAGTAATCTAGCCTTTCATCACATAGAAATATACAAACCAGAAGGCAGCTGTGCTGTTACTAGGAACTTGCTTCCCAAAATGGGGAAATATTTGCAGGCTGAAACAAAATCCAACTGCACACTTAGCTCAACCAGCAACAGAAAACTAGTTCATGTGGAAGCTACAAACTAATCCTCCATGTACCTGGACGCTATTCCCAGATATGAAATGTGCAAAACTTAAATATAAGAAGCAGCCTACAGACCAACATTTTGAAAATTGTACTTTATTAAATATACAAAAGCTCAGCACTGCTGTAGAAAATTGTATCTTCATCTCTTAATATGGCAACGCTGGTTCGTTTCCTGCATCGCTGGTAAAACAGCAGTCCAACACTTGGTTTTGTCCCCAGCAGAGTGCAGTTCTTAATTGACGAAGCAAAAGTTGGTGTCAGTGAGCAGCAGGGAGACTGCGCAGTATCGCTAATGTGCACTTGCACTTCCTATAACCTGTCACTCGCTACAACTGCTCTTACCAGCAGAACTGAGCCATGAGACTGAACCAACAACATTGAAATACCAGAAGGATGAAAAGAATTAAGGCTAATAAAGTAATTACTAAGTCTCAAAACACTTACAATTTATAACTCAGTTCTCTATTTCAGTACCACTTGTAGCAAACATTTGCTTCTATGTATGTTGAAGTTAAATTCCTTTGGTATGGGGAACACATTTCTCATGACGGTCATAACTGGATTTCATAAATACAGACATTATTTTTGTACTGAATTATGTATACTTACAGAAAAAACCCACCACTGTAGCGTAGGGAGGGCACATTAGGAAGCCAAACTCTAGCTAGGTGGAGAGAGACCTAAAAAGGTAGTCTCTAATCTCAAATACTGATTACAGCAGAAATACGTAAACATGAGCCATCACAATGCTACAAGAAGGCATTCCTCTATTCCTCTAACATGATATAAAGCTCAAAATTTAGGCTGTTAAAGTCTATGAAATCTAATCGAGCAAAAATGTTTTCATTATTTAATTTCATGGAGTATGTTCATTGTCCTTACTAAGTCAAATTCAAGAAAGAAACAGTATACACAGCAAAAACCACCCCAAATACTGTAAGGAATATACATTCAATTATAAAAGTTAATTTTGTTTCAAGGCAGCAGGTTTTATTTTTAAAGGTTAGTGACCTCTGAGTATCCCCTTCAATAAGTGCAATTGGAAGTTAAATTTTTGAAATAATTATGCAATAGTATAGTCCATGCTACCATTTTGGATGCTTAACCAAGAACAACTTCAGAGACTTTTAAAAAGTTGGGGGAAATCAATGCTTTCCGACAAATCCACACTATCTCAGAGCACTGCTAACCTGGCCACTCATTATTTCTAGTTACTTTGAAAATCCTCAGTCCAAAAGCATACATTTTGTATAAGTATTGTGTAAAATTCGACTAAGTTGTGTTTTTCCTTTGAACACAAACACTTCCAAATGCATCAGCCAAAGAAGTGTACAGGATACATGACTGTGCATACATGAAAAGGCAGCAGAGGGAGGGTTGGTCGGAGACAGGTACACGCACGTATTTCCTAAGGATATCTAATCATGCTCCATGTGGTAAAGCTGGCATTTTCTCCGTAATACACAAGGTGCCCCAACTGTCAGTGAAGACGTGCCAGTTCTCACATCAGGGGGAATTAGTAAGTGTTGAGCGCTAAAAATATGCTTGTTCACCGACTTACAACAAATATAGACACTCCAAAATGTCTTTTTCCCCAAAGTCGATGTCACCGACTTCCTACAAACAGCATCCTATAGTCACGTTTTCCATGGATAACACATATCAACAACCGCCTTCAAGCCCCTTCCCCAGCTCTTGGTGCATGCCGCTGAACTGTGATATGCTGTAAGCACGCTGCAGTAACCGGGACAGAAACACACTTGAAAAATTTCCAACCAGGATTCAGCGCAAAACCGCCAACCTCCTCCTCACTGCTGCTTCTTCGGTGGAACACGAGATTTTGCAACCACAATAGGAACTACAGAGAGCAGCCCGATAAGCAAAGCCCAGAGAGGGCGGTAGAAGAGCCAGCCAATGGAGATGGTCAGGAGTGATAGCGAACTGGCTACGCAGAAAGCAAATGCTTTTAATCCAATGTTAACCAGATCCCTCACAACAGGAAACCAGTCCACTGCAGAAAGAATTAAACAAGGGATAAAGCAGTTGACAAGATTATTGTTTAAAAGGAAGTCTTATTCAAGCCTAGGATTTGCAGACTAACTATTGCAATCAAAAGACAGACTCAAGTTATTTATCAAAAGCACTGGATAAGGGATTTCAGCAGAGTACCCTCAAGGCATTTGATAATTAAGCAACACCTAAACATCTAAGACAATGATATCCTCATCTCTTCAGACAGGAAGTAATGCAAAAATTAAGTCTGAAGTCTTGTCCAAGGCTTGAGAGGCAGAGTACACTGATAGCCTTGCAGCTATGGAACAAGTCTAGGGCAACTGATAAAATATACTAGCACAAAAATTAATTTCTGACAACAATAAATCTTGCAGTAGCATGTATATGGGTAAGTAAATAAGAAAAAAAAAGAAAAAAGAGAGCACATCACTACAAAGCAAATGATAGCTTTGATGTTTGAAGTTTATACAAGTTGGAGGCACTGTCCTGCTTTTCTTTTAAGTTTTTATTCCAACATTTTTCTACTCTAAAAGGATAAAAGAAAACCTTTTTTGCTGTGTCTTCACAGTAGTGTAGAATAACTAGACACAAAGACATGTTACTATACAACTACTAATTAAGGCCTTTTTGGGGGACCACATGTGTATGGGGGTAGAAAGTA